TTCTCCATAGGTTGAATCAGCTCCTCTATTTGTTCTTGCGATAATTGTAGTTCCCCGTGTACTTGGAATTGCATATTATCTGTCATTACTGAAGCAGAGAGAGCACTGCTCATTTCAAATCTCCTAGTGGTTGACACTTTTCCAGTGTAATTTTTTATTGAACTCTCAGATTTATGTCCTGACACTGACATAATATCCCGATCAGAAAATTTGTTAATATCAAGAACTGTTATGCTGGTTGCACGGATTGAATGGTTGGTAAATTCCTTAGAGAGACGAGCTTGTTGTGAGATAGTCCTCATCAAACTAGAGAGAGTGTTTTTACCCAATGACTGGTTATAGTACCATACATCTTGAGAGTCTGTGAACTGATCAACAGGTTTTTGCCACAAATCATTGTTTCTAGGATGAAGTTTTGAAAGGTACTTTCGAAAACTTGCAACTGGACACAGTGGGTGACCTATAATATAATAAAAACATAAAGAATTTAAGAAACAATGACAAGTTGTTTTATTCTTACATGTACAACAAGAATTATAACACTAAAATGCAATGGCAATTTTTTTTTACTAAATACGGTATGGTTTGTTTCATTCAAAATAGTGGCGCATATATGCATGAATAGGTACAGGTGTTTGTAAAGATATAGATTAATTTGTATTTGTTAATGGTCATATTGATATGCAATGGCTGTTTTAAAAGTAAGATGTTCGTTGACGGTCCATTTTTAATTTCATTTTGTGTGATAAATGATGAGTGTCTCATCTGTCTTGATTCTAAATCCTGTTTGTACAAATGTAATAAAAACAAAATGTAATCGATTAAAGACTAATTTTAAAATGCTGCTCGTAACACGTATGTTGTAAATTTAATGTCATGTAAGACCTACCATTTACTGCATACATATGTGCCTCTGTTATGGTATCATCCGTTTCCCTGTGGTTTTTGTCCAACTCATCTACTACTTGGTATACATATTCCCTGCCTTTAGAGTCCTGAGTAATGGCAAATGTTGTTTTATTCATACCTCGGAGATTTTCTCTGCCCCTTCTGCACAAATAAAACATAATGTCGAACCAAACTTTATGAAGCAGTCCACAAGGGGTATCTATGTTCAAGGCAACACTGCCATATAATTTACTGAGATCATCCTCGTCCAACGAAAGTGTGTGATCTGTCTTTCCTAGACCCTGACGCTTCAGCTGTATCGTAACAGCCTTGAAAATATCATTCGCCTTTTTGAAACGTATATCCTTGATAATGTCAATCTCCATTTCTTTTAGGAAGTGTCTAGATAATCCAAATCTGATTGACTTTAATGCCGAAAGTTTGTAGTGGGTTCCATCTTTTTTACGAGCGGCTGCGTAAAATTTACAAAGGACTGCACAAAGTTCATCTGCTGTTTCAAAGTCAATGACGTCCGTGTTCTCAGCCAAAAGAAATTGTAAAAACACATTCATTGCTGCTTTGGTGGCCTTTTTGGTATTTTGAGCATCCTTATCTTCAAGCAACTGGTTTAACGCATTCTCATCAGACTGACCAAAACGCGAACCTTGTACTGTGGAATCCATCATATTTGTTTTGTTTATTTGACGTTAAGTGACGTCATACTTTAAAGGGAGTTAACTCGTGATCATTGATGAACGAGAAGGGTTATTCACCGGTGAATAATAGGGTTGTTCGATGGAGGCTACAATTTGTCGGGGTTATTCATCGCTCCTACCAATTTTTGGAAAAACATCTAAATTAAACTATGACACGTGATTACGTATTAGCCAATCAAATAGTTACTATATAATGTAAGGTATAATAAGCTGTATTATTCCTTCCTTTACAGATCATTTAAATATCTTTAGAGGAATCTACTTTTTAATTTTTGATTCAATGTATGAAAGAGAACACCAGCCATAAAACAACTGAAGCTGACAAAATGAAATATCAAAACAGTTAAAACATGTCTATGCCTCAACCTGCCTAAATGTATTTTTACAAAAAAACACTGTTAGTGCATGATACAACATGTAATTAACACACGATTTACACCAACACATTGATAAAAATGTGAGATACAATTTGAATGCCAACACAATTGTTGAAATTTGTTGTTTGAGTTGTCTCCCATAGACTTCATCAATTTTTATGACATTTTGTATGTAGATATGCTAAGATCATATATGTTCTTACTGGATTGACCTGTTACAATTATCATTAGTGACCATTGACAACTTGAATATTTTGTCAACATGGTTGCAGTGTTGGTTGGGTATTTAGTCAAATGATTAAAATATATGTTGATATAAATGTTGGTCCTACAACTTTGTTATATCCCCTCTCAAAAGGAGGGGGAGTACTACTTTTCCCCGTCTGTCCTTCCTTATGTTTGTCCGTTCAATTAAATTTTTTCTGAGGTACTACATATAATAACTTCCTAAAATTTGTCAGCCGACTTCATGTCAGAATGCTGTTATACCCTGTGACACGGTTTCAGATTCATCGGTCATCATCTTCCTGTTGACTGAGTACTTGATATATTCTAATCATAATGACCATGCAAGAAATTTCAGTGCATTATTCTAACTATAGGGAAGTACAAATAATAACTTTCTGAAATTTGATATCGGGCATCACGTCAGCATGCTATACCCTGTGACACAGTTTCAGATTCATTATTCATCAGCTTCCTGCTTACTAAATAATTATAGATTCTAAACACAATGGCCATGAATTTGTTGTCGTATTTTTCATTCCAACTGCAAATAATTGCTTCCTTAAATATTATATCATGATTCGTGTCAGCATGCTTTGTAATGTGAAAGGGCTTCAGATCCAATGGTCATCGATATTTCCTGTTTACCAAACACTTACATATTATTCTAACAATACTGGCCATGTATGCAATTTTTTGTCAATATTTTTGATGGAACTACAAATTAGAGCTTCCAGAAATTTGATATCAGGCGTCATGTGAATATGCTTTACCTCGTAATGCATTTTCAGATTAATTATGCCCCCACCGTAGTGGATAGGGCATTCAGTTTTACCCTTGTCCATCTGTATGTCTGTCCGTCCGTTGTACGTCTGTACGTTCCTAAATTGGTTTCTATTCTCTAACTTTAGAATGCCTCAACCAAATGTTATGAATCTTATACAAAATGCTTATTTCCACAAACGACAGATCAATTTGAATTTTGGTGGTGTCACTGTTACTGTTCTAGAGTTATGCCACTTTACAAATGGAAAAATTGCCAAATTTGTCGTTTCCATTCTCTAACTTAAGTTTTTATTATTGCCCCTATTCCTTTAACCAAACTTGGCCACAATCATCATTAGGGTATCTACTTTAAAAAAAAAATTCAATGACCCGGCCTGCCAGCCAAGATGGCAAACACTGCTAAAAATAAAACATGGGGGCAAAATGCAAGTTTTGTCTATTATCTTGAAAAACCACTATAAATAGAAAAAATATAGTTTTATAGAAGTTAATGCCCTTAAATGTTGAATTTTCCAACTTTTTAAATTCTTGCCTATTATCTTGAAAATTTTAAAAGATAGAGAGAAACTTTATATAGCAAAAATGATCAGCAAGATAAGTTTTGCAAATAAGTCAGCATGCTTGAAATTGTCTGATGACCCCTCATTGGAGTTATTGCCCTTTAATGACGATTTTTACTATTTTTTTTTTTTCGTTTTTGCCTAATATCCGAAAAAGTATAACAAATGGATACAAAACTTATATTTAGGCATAAATGATCAGCAAGACAAGATCTTTACATAAGTTGAATATTTTAAATTGTCTGACGACCCCTAATTGGAGTTATTGCCAATTAATGATGGTTCTGACCAATGTTGTGCTTTTGCTTATAAATCTGAAAACTATAATAGATAGATAGTAACTTAAATAAGCAAAAATAATCAGCAAGACAAGATCTACAAATAAGTCAATATGGTTTAAATCGTGTAATGACACCTTATTGGAGTTGTTCCCTTTAATTAATAACAATTTTTATACTTTTTTTTGTGTTGTTGCCTACTATCTGAAAAAAACTATATTAGATAGATAGATAAAAACTTAAATAAGCACAAATGATCAGCAAGACTAGATCATTAAAGAAGAGATTTTTGTCATGAGTTCTATTCTAGTCCACAAAGATGGAGAGTATTCATTGTTGAAGATGCACAGAGACCTAGATGAGTGACACAAGCCTCAATTTTTAAAGAAAGTCACAAAGGCAAAGAAAGGAAAGCAAGAAAATTTGACATCATAATTAAATTTTGACCAATAAACAACTGAGATCAAATGAACCACAAGTTGATTATAAAAAGTAAAATCAACTGGTTAAGGGAAGAATAAATTGTCTAATAATTAGAGAAAAGAAATTATACTATCATCATAATAAAATTGAGAATGGAAATGGGGAATGTGTCAAAGAGACAACAGCCTGACCAAAAAGCAGAAAATAGCCCAAAGCCACCAATGGGTCAAAATAATAAATAATCGGTTTCTCCAAAAAAGCATTGTTGATAAGAAAATTATAATTTACATTTTTTGAAATAATCCTTTTTATTTAAAAAAAAAAATGGTTCACATAACCCTAAGCAATAAATGTATTGCATTCAAGTGCCTCAAGTATCTCAAGGATATCTTGATTCTTAAACAATTTTAAATAAACACTTATGATAGTGGTTTAATTTGTTAATTTAAACCTGCTGTTTTCATAAATGTCTATTTAAAATATCTATTTCCTTCTAGTGTATTAAAGGAAACTAACAAATAATAGGCATACCAATTATTAAAAGTGATTTTAAAAGGTATAGATTGTTCAGATACCTTAGATACATGTATCATATTACTACTTTTTAGCTTTGTTTTATGCTTTGGTAATCATACCCTGCCTCAAAACTTAATTAAAAGTATCCAAGAATTGATATGAACACTGTATAAAGTTGAAAAATGCACATTTGTCATGAATATTATTTTATTAAACGCATCATTATTCCAGGTGGAACCAGCCAGCTCAGTATGTAGTACCTTGGGTAAAAGTGGAGGGTAACAGTTTACAGAATTGGAAGGAAAAAGGGTAAATATTAACTACAAAACTGAGACAAATGATGGTCAAACAACATTAAATGACTTTGTCATGTAATGTAAAAAAGAAATATCAATGTAAATAACAATGATAAAAGTGAAAATTGAAAAGTTAATTTTAAAAATGGTTATTAGATATAAGAAGATGTGGTATGAGTGCCAATGAGACAACTCTCCATCCAAATCACAATTTGTAAAAGTAAACCATTAAAGGTCAAAGTACGGTCTATTTTATGTCTATTTTAAGACTATCTATTTTAAGAGTATGTCTAGTTTAAGAATACATCAATTTGATAGTAAGCTGTTTTTTTGCAAATTTGTAAAAGCGTTTTTTAGACGTAAAAAAATCATCAGAAAAATTAAAACAACATTGTAAGAAGAAAACTTAGATTATTCTTGCATGTGTTGAATACTAGATGTGGGTATCTGTCAATGCAATAGAAATCAAATGAAACAAATAGTCATTTATCCCAAGTTACATGTCAGAAATTTGGTACACTTGTTAACATTTTGTAGATTCACTGCTATCACTGTAATCTCTGAGGAGAAAATGAAGATAGGGAATTGTAAAAGACACTAGCCAGTGAGCTATTGCTGTTAATAAATATCAGTGGTGGATTTTAAGTTGTGGCTCTTTATGTGCAGTAAATGGATCCTTTTAAAAATTTTATGCATTATATAGAGAAAAAAAAATAATGTTGAAATATATCTTTTACTTTTTATACCAATTTGAAAAAAATGACATATTTTTAGCTCACCTAGCTCAGAGGGCAAAGTGAGATATTATCATTACCTAGCATCCCTTATCTGTTAACTTTTTCCAAATCTTCCTCTCTCAAACAACTGGATCAAATATATATAACCAAACTTGACCATAATCATTATTAAGGTATTTTGTGTATAAATAAATTTGGCCTGCCAACCAACATGGCTTACATAGCTATAAATTTTGAACATAGACGGAAAATGCAAGTTTTGTCTATTATCTTGAAATCTGCTATAGATGGAGAAAATCTGACAGTGCATAAATGATCACAATTTAGGATCTACCTACTCTATATTTACTTTAAAACTGTTAGACATCTTATAGGAGTAATTGCCCTTAAAAGACAAATGTTATCTATTTTGAACTCACCTGGCCAAAAGGCCAAAGTGATTTTTTTCTCATCACTTGCTGTCCGTCTCCGTCATCCTCATCATGGTCCATGTTAGTTAACTCTGACAAAAATCTTCTTTTCCCTGAAACTATTGGGCCAAATTTAACCAAACTTGGCCACACTAATAATAAATGTATCTTGTTTAAAAAAATGCGCCTGATTACCTTGCCGCCCAACCAACATGGCCGACCTTAAAAAAAGAACATAGGGGTGAAATGCAAAAAAATCTTAAAAAAGGCAATGAATAGAGAAAATCTGACAGGGGCAGAAGTTTCAGCATATTTCCAAATCTACCTGCTGTCCATTATCATCAAAACTGTCAGTCTACTTCCTCGTGTTCCTACAAATTATTTAATGCCCAAAAAGGTGCAAGCCAGGGCCGACCGTGCAAGGGCTGTATAGCCAGTCAAGGTCATTAAAAAACTTCCATTTGTCATGTTCCTATAGGAATTATAGTCCTTAAAAATGTTAAATGTCGCATTTTACTGATAGCTTACCTGGCCTAAAAGGGATTAAGAGTTGAGGCTCAGTCATTGAAATAAATTCCCTCTTAAAATAATAATTTTCAGTGTCTTTCAGTTTGATTCTCATGATACAGTGCGACCTGGGACAAAGTTCAGATCATTAGACAATAAAAGTTTGAAATGTCTGACATATGTTTTAACATTGCTTCAGTCGATTATTATAAATGTCTGACATATGTTTTAACATTGCTTCTGTCGAATTGTTATATACAAGGAAATGGTTTTTATAAATAAAATTATTACAGATTTCTCACTTGGGACAAGCAAGTACAGAAAATGACTGGGTTTAAAATTGTAAGGCTCCAACAAAAAACTTAAGTGTTAATACCTGCCAACTTTTAGTATCTACATTTGATTTAGCACTTTTTATGCGCCTGTCAAATTTTTGTCTGGCGTCCGTCCGTCTGTCCGTCCGTCTGTCTGTCTGTCCGTCTGTCTGTCCGGCATAAACATGTTGCACCGTAACTTGAGAATGACTTATCCAAATTTCATGAAACTTTACATAGTTGTTTCTTGTGATGGTCAAACGATCTGTATACTTTTTGGTGAAAATAAGATTAAAACTTTTTGAGTTACGGGACTTAGTAACTAAAACAGGTGTGTGTTTTTTTTCACATGTCGCGCCGTATCTCAAAAACAATTTATGATTATTGCTTAAAACTTTACACACTTCTTAGTTATATTAATCTTAAGATCTGTTTACTTTTTGGTGATGATTCAAAATTTTATTTTAGAGATATTGAGTATTTTGTTAAAAAAGGGGAGGGGTTTTTCACATGTCGCGCCTTATCTCAAAAACAGTTTATGATTATTGCTTAAAACTTTACACACTTCTTAGTTATATTAACCTCAACATCTGTATACTTTTTGGTGATGATTAAAAATTTTATTTTTGAGTTATTGAGTATTTTGTAAAAAAAGGGGGAGGGTTTTTTCACATGTCGCGCCGTATCTCAAAAACGATTTATGATTATTGCTTAAAATTTTACACACTTCTTTGTTATATTAATCTAAAGATCTGTATACTTTTTGGTTTTGATTCAAAATTTTATTTTTGAGATATTGATTTTTTTTTTTTTAAAGGGGGGTTTTCACATGTCGCGCCGTATCTCAAAAACGATTTATAATTATTGCTTAAAATTTTACACACTTCTTAGGTATATTAATCTTAAGATCTGTATACTTTTTGGTTTTGATTCAAAATTTTATTTTAGAGATATTGGCGCAGCTGTTTATTTCTAGGAGTTACGCCCCTTTGAACTTATTTGCCTCAATATACCACTGCAACAGTTTGTCATCGCAACTCCTCTGAAACCACACAACAGAATTTCATGAAACTTTGTACATAATAAGGACATACTATTTAGATGTGCATATCGACAGGAAATTATGATTATTTTTTTTCTAGGAGTTACGCCCCTTTGAACTTATTTGCCTCAATATACTACTGCAACAGTTTGTCATCGCAACTCCTCTAAAACCACACCACAGAATTTCATGAAACTTTGTACATAATAAGGACATACTATGTAGATGTGCATATCGACAGGAAATTATGATTATTTTTTTTCTAGGAGTTACGCCCCTTTGAACTTATTTGCCTCAATATACTACTGCAACAGTTTGTCATCGCAATTCCTCTAAAACCACACCACAGAATTTCATGAAACTTTGTACATAATAAGGACATACTATGTAGATGTGCATATCGACAGGAAATTATGATTCAATTTTTTTTCTTAAGAGTTATTTTATTTGTCCAGTGACAATGTGGGGGCGTGGGGTATGTGAGCGCGCTCACTGAGGTTCTATAATTTTCATAATATTTTAAAGAAAAAAGGTGCCAATGGCTAATATCTCGAAAACAAGCACACTGACCCTTCATTTTTTTCTGCTTTTTTAGGCAGTTAAGCTGCCTTATGCAAGCACCCTAGATTTGTGTTCTTCCCAACGAATGCTGAAAAAAGTGTCATTGTTATAATCTAGCAGGCTAATGTGTTATTTATAACTAATTGGACATTTTTATCATACTTTTGATTCTGGAATACAAACAATATGACCAGAATAACCTGAAATGATCATCAAACGACCCATAATATTTGAAGTTGCACATAGGAAATAGTGCTCAATAGAAATCCGTACGTAGTTTATTACCCCCTGTGCTTTTGGCTAAGATGTCAAAGAACAATTGTATGAAATATTTCATCACCGAAAATCTGTAATTACAATCGTTTATATTTCCCAAATGGCAAAATGCGTAGGAATATTGTTCATGTACACCAAATCTCTATGATAGAGGAATTAAAGTTATATATAGTAGTCTAAGTTGGCGGTAATTTTAACTTACACGAAACGTAAGTTCGTTTGATTCTGATGATATAAAGCCCGATTAAAAGAAAGTATTGTTAATCATGATATTCTTTTAGTTTTAGAAGATTGTGATTATTTAATTGATTTCAATTAAATGTATGCACATTTAATTTCCTTTCTTTTATTAAATTATTCCGTTTATCACTGACCTTGTTGTTGTTATTTAATGAATGAAAAAGAACCGGGAATCGACGTCGACCAAACAGGTCGATGTTTTAAGAAATGCGGAACAACTCGTCTCAGAGACAAGTCAGACCGAGTCCACTTGGACCATCTAAGAAGACTACTCGGACCGCTTGTCAGATTTACTTAGGGTTTCATAAAATGTAAGACTAACATTTCTAGCGGGGCCATCAATCTTTAGTTTAGTTTATTTTGAGGGGCCTAAGCCCTAAAGAAGAGAGGGATTTACTGTAGAACCCTATGGGATTATATTTTTTTTAATTTTCAAATAAATATTACTCGAAAACTGTAAGTGATAGACACACGCGGTCTTCAGTAATGAAAACAGGACAATAAATCAACTCAAATAAAATATAGAGTGAGTCCCTTGGGGTCATGCCACTCCCTTCAATTTGAAAATGTGCTTTTATCTTGTAAACGGTCGCGATCCCCACTCCTAAACTATATATATACTTGTATGGGAAATAAAACAAATCAAATGAAAATTTGGGGTAATCCCCGGTGTCACCCCACCCCCTTCTGTTTGAGAACTTGTAAACGGTCGAGATCCCCACCCCTGAACCATTATATTCGTGTATGGGATAATATAACAAATCAAATGAAATATAGGGGAAGTCCCTGGGGTCACCCCATCCCCTCCTGTTTGAGAACTTGCAAACAGTCGAGATCCCCACCCCTAAACCATATATATTCATGTATGGGACAATATAACAAATCAGATGAAATATAGGGGGAGTCACTGGGGTCATCCCATCCCCTCCTGTTTGAGAACTTGTAAACGGTCGAGAAACCCACTCCTAAACCATATTTATTCCTGTTCGTCATTTCAAAAGATTTGAATGACATACAGGGTCAATCTCCTAGGCGTCACATATGCATATCACTTTACTAGACCAAATCAATGTGTACTGGACTTTGCCCAATGTCAGGCGACCATGGGAATGACGAATTATGGGCGCATTTTTTGAGAGACTATGTAACAGCATCCTGTTACAATTATTTCTTGTTTATTATAAAATTTTATTGATGCAAAAAATAAGTCTAGGTTAATTGAATTTACTTTAATTATTTTTTGAATTATTTCTGGGCTTATAAAAATTTTCATTTCTGACTCATTTTAAAGAAAACATATAAATCTTTCAAGCAGTTTAAAGCCAAAGAATGTTTGACCAACTGTTTTATAATCACCTGTCATTTTATTCCAAACTTGGTATGGATTGACATCATGGACTTGGGATGAAGGTGGGTGTCATTTACATTTACTATGGGCAGGTCAGTCAGACCTCACCTTTGATCCCTGTAGATGTAAACGTTTGTCTGATTTGTGTCTCATAACTTTTGTACTGAAGAACCCAGTGTTCCTTCCAGGGAAGCAAGTCCATTCATACTATTACAAACTCGTACTTCGTCAACTTATACCACTAAAAGTCAACTGATACCAACGTTAACTACCAACTAGAACAACTGAATCATTGCGAATTTGTCCCGTGCTTGTACCACTGCAGACTCCCCATCAAAAATATACATTGATATATGCGTTGCTTTTGAAAACCTTGATAAAATATTAATTAATATGCGTTGCTTTTGAAAACCTTGATAAAATATTAATTAATTTTCTTTAATAATCATTCATTTAATAAACATAAATGTACAATATACGAATCTTTAATGTTTGTTCTTTCAAATCTTAAAACAAAAATTGACGCAACACTGCCACAGTTTTCATAATTACGTTTGCCTTGGTTTTTGGTTTTCTCTTTCTATCTGATAAGTTAGCCCTTTACAGCTGATTTTTATAATTTGTTCTTATATCTGTTACACCACTGTCCCAGGTAAGGGAATATTTTGGCACCATCAAATATAAAAAAGAAGATGTGGTATGATTGCCAATGAGTCAACTCTCCACAAGAGACCAAATGACACAGCTATAGGTCACCGTACGGCCTTCAACAATGAGCAAAGCCCATACCGCATAGTCAGCTATAAAAGACACCGAAATCACAAATGTAAATCAATTCAAACGAGAAAACTAACAGCCTAATTAATGTAAAAAAAAATGAAAGAAAAACAAATATGTAACACAACAACAAACGACAACCACTGAATTACAGGCTCCTGACTTGGGACAGGCACATGCATACAGAATGTGGTGGGGTTAAACATGTTAGCGGGATCCCAACCCTCCCCCTTACCTGGGACAGTGGTGTAACAGTACAACATAAGAAAAAACTATAAAAATCAGTTGAAAAAGGCTTAACTTATCAGATGGATAAAAATAGAAATACATATACCAATAACACGTGGATGTGACCGGGTACTTGTACATTCTAACAACATAAAGACACTAAGTACAGATCTGAGAGAGTACTCGCAGTTACTGACAACTAGTTCAAAGGCAATAACAACTAATATAAAAACTCATGCATCTAAGGCTAAATTATCAATCCGTACACATCCAACATCCAATGGATTTAGTGCAAAGACGTCATCAACAGAGAAAAACATGACCTTGATTTACGTGTTTTACCCCGCCATATTCAGTACATGTATAAGCCTGTATGTAGTTCAGTGGTTGTTGTGTGTTGTTGTATATAATATTTGTCTTGTTCATTGTTTTGTACATTAGTCAGGTCATTAGTTTTCTCTTTGATTGTGTTTACATTCGTCGTTTAGGGGCCTTTATAGCTTACTATGCGGTATGGGTTTTCTCATTGTTATATGCTACATGGTGACCAGTAGTTGTTACCTGCTACGTCATTTTATCTATGGTGTAGAGTTGTCTTATTGGCAAGCATACACCATCTTTTCTTGATGATAAATGGAAAAAAAAAGATCACACAAAAGGGTCACAGGAAAACAAGTCACAACTTTGGTACGAAAAAAAGTCTCAGACCTGATATGAAATAAAAGACAACCCAGAGTGAATCTTTTATTTGACACTTGTTGGATAAACGAAGTTCAACTGAAGTGGATATAAGCAATTATAGGCAAACATACGTCCTTCAACAATGAGAAAAAACCCATACCGTGACAACAACTGACCTACAGGCTCCTGACTTGGGACAGGCACATACAGAATGTGGCTGGGTTATACATGTTTGTGAGCGCTCAACCCTCCCCTAACCTGGGACAGTGGTGTAACATTACAACATAAGAACACACTTTAAAAATCAGTTGAAAAAGACTTAACTCATCAGATGGATACAAATACATCTTACAAAATCATAAAGTAGACTTGGACGGATACGTATACATCTCAAAAATAAAGACAATAAGTACAGATTTGAGAGTACTAGCAGTTACTGACAGCTAGTTCAAAGCCAAAAAACAACTAATGAAAACAATCATGTATATAAGACTTAAATATCAAAAAGTACACATCCAACATCCAATGGATTTAGGGTAAAGACGTCAATAACAGTCTGAGAAAAACATGACCTTGTGCAATGCCAAACTATAAGTATCTACAGATTGTATTACCGTGAAAGTACATATGTGTAATCTTTAGTATGGTTTTAATTTATTGATAATAAAATCAATATTTACACCAATTAAAACAATATTCAAAGATTTAATTACAGTGTTAAATAGGTAACCTTTTAGAATAATTTTATTTAAAGGATTGAAAAGTTTATCCGGATCGTATCCAAATTTTCGGGCTCGGTTTACGACATATCCGTAAAATTTAGGATGTGCTATTCCGTTTGAAACTAGTTTTCTGCAGGTACAGCCAAACTTGCATTATAATTGACTTCAGTGTAATATTTAAATTTCCAATGTATTAATAAATTTTCATAATCTTGTTAACACATTGATAAATCCTTGACCTTAATGTTAGATATTGTTGACTAATACAACTCATTTGAATGGTACCATTCCAATTGTGTTCAACTCTACACAATACCCGCAATGGACGATGAAGTCATGTATCAAATGGTCTTAATTCTGCTACCCAATCAAAGTGGTCGAACATACGACCGCTGATTTAACTTGCTGAAGACTACTTGAAAATAACATCAACTCCAACTAGCACCACAGATATTCATTAATGACTTTGTGACAAACAACGCTGTAATGAAATAAATTCTTATTACGATATTAGATAATCGATTCCACTACAGATACATTTGTATATTTTGGAGCTGGCATGTCAGTAACTGATAGTAGTCCTTTGTTAATTTATGTATCATTGTCATTTTGCTTAGTTTCTTTTGTTACCTATTCTGACAACTTACTCGGACTTCTTTTAAACTGAGTTTTACTGTGCGTATTGCTGTGTGTTTGTCTTTCTACATTGGCTAGAGGTAAAGGGGGAGAGTTGAGATCTCACAAAACGTTTTAACCCCGCCGCATTTTTGCGCCTGTCCAATGTAAGGAGCCCCTGGCCTTTGTTAGTCTTGTATGATTTTTAATTTTAGTTCATTTATATATTTCGGAGTTTAGTATGACGTCCATTATCACTGAACTAGTACACATTTTGTTTAGGGCCAGCTAAAGCACGCCTCCGGGTGCGGGATGTTCTCGCTGTGTTGAAGACCCATTGGTGGCCTTCGACTGTTTTCTGCTTTTTTTACGGGTTGTCTCTTTGACACATTCCCCATTTCCATTCTCAATTTTATCATGTTTATTATTATATATTGGTGAGTTTTGGAAGTGTCTATGGGCCATTCGATATCCTCGGAATCAAGATTCTAGGATTGTCTCGAAAATTGTTGATTATTTATACAGGTAGTTATTTATGTCTTTTATACGGTTCCTTTATGGATAGGATACATTTACAATCCAAGTTAATTTGTAGATTGGAAAGTAAAACAATAAAGACTAGGTTGCATTAAAAAAAATCATTAACATGTTAGAACCTATTTGCAATTTTGACAAAACATCTGTGTTTTTAACAATGTGAATGTTTATTAAATTTCAGATATAATGATAACGGAATTATATAGTTCATACTTTGAGAC